TTCATCCCAAAGGTGTTCTATATTGGGTTGAGGTCAGGACTCTGTGCAGGCCAGTCAAGTTCCTCCACCCCAAACAAGCTCATCCATGTCTTTTTGGACCTTGCTTTGTGCACCAGTGCACAGTCATGTTGGAACAGGAAGGGGCCATCCCCAAACTGTTCCCACAAAGTTGGGAACATGAAATTGTCCAAAATGTCTTACTATGCTGATACCTTAAGAGTTCCTTTCACTGGAACTAAGGGGCCAAGCCCAACCCCTGAAAAGCAACCACACACCATAATCCCCCGTTAAGCAAACTTTACACTTGGAACATTGCAGTCAGGTAAGTACCGTTCCCTTGGCAACCTCCAAGTCCAGACACGTCCATCAGATTGACAGAGAAGCATGATTTGTCACTCCAGAGAACACATCTCCACTGCTCTAGAGTCCAGTGGTGGCGTGCTTTACACCACTGCATCTGATGCTTTGCAATGCACTTGGTGATGTAAGGCTTGGATGCAGCTGCTCAGCCATGGAAACCCATTCCATGAAGCTCTCTGCGCAATGTTGTGCTAATCTGAAGGCCACACGAAGTTTGGAGGTCTTTAGCTATTGACTCTGCAGACAGTAAGCAACATCTGCACACTGTGCTCTTCAGCATGTGCTGACCCCGTTCTGTCATTTTACGTGGTCTACCACTTTGTGGCTGAGTTGCTGTAGTTCCCAGTTGCTTCCACTAACAGCTGACCGTGGAATATTTATTAGCAAGGAAATTTTACAGATGGATTTATTGCACAGGTCACAACCTATCACTGAACCACATTTGAATTTACTGAGCTCCTGAGAGTGACTCATTCTTTCACAAATGTTTGCAGAAGCAGTCTGTATGCCTAGATGCTTGATTATATACACCTGTGACCATGGAGGTGATTGGAACACCTGAATCCAGTGTGTATATGTGTGTGTGTGTGTGTGTGTGTGTGTGTGTATATATGTATATATATATATATATATATATATATATATATATATATATACAGTATCTCACAGAAGTCAGTACACCCCTCACATTTTTGTAAATATTTTATTCTCTCTTTTCATGTGACAACAGTGAAGAAATGACACTTTGCTACAATATAAAGTAGTGAGTGTACAGCTTGTATAACAGTGTAAATTTACTGTCCCCTCAAAATAACTCAACACACAGCCATTAATGTCTAAACTGCTGGCAACAAAAGTGAGTACACACCTAAGTGACAATGTCCAAATTGGGCCCAAAGTGTCAATATTTTGTGTGACCACCATTATTTTCCAGCACTGCCTTAATCCTCTCAGGCATGGAGTTCACCAGAGCTTCACAGGTTGCCACTGCAGTCCTCTTCCACTCCTACATGACGACATCACGGAGCTGGTGGATGTTGGAGAATTTGCACTCCTCCACCTTCCGTTTGATGATACCCCACAGATTCTCAATAGGGTTTAGGTCTGGAGACATGCTTAGCCAGTCCATCACCTTTACCCTCAGCTTCTTTAGCAAGGCAGTGGTCATCTTGGAGATGTGTTTGGGGTCGTTATCATGTTGGAATACTGCCCTGCGGCCCAGTCTCCGAAGGAAGAGGATCATGCTCTGCTTCAGTATGTCACAGTACATGTTGGCATGTAGACAAGACACACTTGTCTTTGTACTCCTCACCAGCTTGCCGCAACACTCGCATGACACCATCTGAACCAAATAAGTTCATCTTGGTCTCATCAGACCACAGGACATGGTTCCAGTAATCTATGTCCTTAGTCTGCTTGTCTTCAGCAAACTGTTTGCGGGCTTTCTTGTGCACCATCTTTAGAAGAATCTTCCTTCTGGGATGACAACCATGCAGACCAATTTGATGCAGTGTGCGGTGTATGGTCTGAGCACTGATAGGCTGACCCCCCACCCCTTCAACCTCTGCAGCAATGCTGGAAGCACTCATATGTCTATTTCCCAAAGACAACATCTGGATATGACACTGAGCACATGCACTCAACATCTTTGGTGGACCATGGTGAGGCCTGTTCTGAGTGGAACCTGTCCTGTTAAACCGCTGTATGGTCTTGGCCACCGTGCTGCATCTCAGTTTCAGGGTCTTGGCAATCTTCTTCTAGCCTAGGCCATCTTTATGCAGAGCAACAATTCTTTTTTTCAGATCCTCAGAGAGTTCTTTGCCATAAGGTGCCATGTTGAACTTCCAGTGACCAGTATGAGAGTGAGAGCGATAACACCAAATTTAACACACCTGCTCCCCATTCACACCTCAGACCTTGTAACACTAATGCAGGCCATAGATGGGTCGAAAATCGGCCGATTTTTCGTCCGAAAATAAAATTGGCCGATTTTCGGATCGTTAGTGGGCTATTTGTTCGGCCGTTTTTTGGTATTTTGGCAGATTTTTTTTATCGGTAAAGTTGGAAAAAAAAATCGGCCGATTTTGCCGATCGGCCGATTTTCGCGGCAATGATGGGCAAATCGGCCGATTTTTTACCGATAAAAAATCTGCGCATGAGCAGTGACCTGCAAGAGGAAGACAAAAAGAAGAGGATGATGATGATGAAGAAGAAGAGGATGATGATGATGAAGAAGAGGATGATGAAGAAGAAGATGAAGATGAGGGTGATGATGATGAAGAAGAAGAGGATGATGATGAAGAAGAAGAGGAGGAGGATGAAGAAGAAGAAGAGGATGATGATGATGACGAAGAAGAAGAGGATGACGAAGAAGAAGAGGATGAAGAAGAAGAAGAGGATGAAGAAGAAGAAGAGGATGAAGAAGAAGAAGAGGATGAAGAAGAAGAAGAGGATGATGATGAAGAAGAGGATGATGATGATGAAGAAGAGGATGATGATGAAGAAGATGATGAAGAAGAGGATGATGATGAAGAAGAAGAGGATGATGATGATGAAGAAGAAGAAGGATGAAAAATAAGAGGAATTCCAGTACGGCAAAAAGTATCCCTGCAGAGAGCTCCGCTATTTCTTTGACAGTTCCTTGACATTTACAGCGGTTGCAACAATGTATCTATTTGTTTCCGAATAAAAACATCTGTATCCTAAATGGATACGAATAGATACATTGTTGCAACCGCTATAAATGTGAAAGAACTGTCAAAGAAATAGTGGAGCTCTCTGCAGGGACACTTTTTGCCGGCTGTAGACCGGATGAAAATCGGCTGATTTTTTTTTTTTTACCATTGTTGGTAATGTCGGCCGCTTGAACGACCGATTTTTCGTTTTTTAAAAGAAAATTCGGCCGTTTTTCTCCCCGTCTATGGCCTGCATAAGGAGACACATGACACCGGGGAGAGAAAATGGCTAATTGGGCCCAATTTGGACTGTTTCATTTAGGGGTGTACTCACTTTTGTGGCCAGCGGTTTAGACATTAATGGCTGTGTGTTGAGTTCTTTTGAGGGAACAGCAAATTTACACTGTTATACAAGCTGTGCACTCACTACTTTACATTGTAGCAAAGTGTCATTTCTTCAGTGTTGTCACATGAAAAGATAGAATAAAAGATTTACAAAAATGTGAGGGGTGCACTGTGAGATACTGTGTGTGTATGTATATATATATATATATATATATATATATATATATATATATATATATATATATATATGAAACTGTTGGACTAGTGGAAGTCATTTAATTGTCTCACTTGATTTATTATGGCACTTTTGGCTTGTGTCGTGCAGGAGTTCCCAGAGAGCCTGGACGATTTCTTGCTGCCACCTGACGACGATTTTGCTCAGGATATATACGTTATCGGGATTCAGGAAGGAAGCCCAGACAGGTAGGTGAACCTGAAAACTGCCAGCTGATGTCTGAAACGTGCTCCTCTTTTACCCCAAATTTGTAATTAGCACAAACTACGTATACAAATATATATCAATACAAATCACAGTGAATAAAATAAATAAAACTAATACTGTATTGCAAGCTGAACACTTGTTAGTGAATTTCCGCCCTTCTTGACATCCCCATGTGGATCAGTTGTAGACTAAGGCTTGGCATTATCGACTCACCCGCCTACTGAAGAAGCCCATTATGTGGGCGTAATGCATCTAGGGAGGAGGAGCCGATCTCTGTCATGATAGTTTGCTGCCATCTTGCTAGCGGAGTGGTGAGCAATTGGATCATTGGAGTTTTATGCTGATTGTACATGAGAATTATGCAAGTGTGAGTTTAACTATAGGGATGAAATACAGTCCTAAACGGAGAGCACTATATTCTGGCCTTTTTATAACCTGTTATACACATCCATCAATCCCTGAGCATAAGCTGAGGAGAAGAGGGATATCGCCTGGACCAGAAGTGGATTTGGGGACCAGAAGGGGTGCTTTATTTTGAACGAGATGAACTTCCAATGATATCTAGAAGGTGAGCAGGTTTTTCACCTGGTGTGGTGGAGGTGCAGTGATTGTGTAAGGAAGAAGTGAACACAGCTAAGTTACTTGTAGAGGCACATGTGTCATGGAGATTCAATTGGATGTTCACATTTTGGACTTTGGTTATGTATATTGTTTGCACTAATTGATCTTCTATGCTGTTTTAAGGAGGGTAGAATTGCTTATGTTGTGCTGCACTTTTATTTTCATTAGTGCTTCTCTTTTAGTTGTCTTTTGGATAACACATTGTTCCCCAGCTCCTGAGTGCACATAGCAATATCAAATGACAAAACCTTGTAACTGCTTACCTTTCTCCTGAGAGGCACTACTATTCTACACTGCTATGAACAATTAGGATACTGATGGCAGCATGTGTATTTACCACCAGGAAGTTGACAGGTTAGAAATCAGACCTCAGGGAACATTTTAGCTCTGACAGGGTACAGCCGATATGCAGACATGTATGACTCGTGTATTAAAAAAAAATAATAATTTACAGTTAGCCTATTTTATGAATGATTCAAACTGTGTGCAGAAGATTCCGGAATTCATTCTCGCTGCATCCTTGATTGAAAGGGTAGGTATACCTTCTCTATGTTTACAGGAGGGAGTGGGAAGTCCGGCTTCAGGAAACTCTGGGACCGCATTATGTCCTATTGCACTCTTCTGCCCATGGCGTCCTCTATCTCTCCATCTTTATTCGCAGGGACCTCATCTGGTTCTGTTCAGGTATGATAAATGTGATTTTCGCAGCATGCAAACCAGTTATTGGGGCATTATTGCAAATTATACCATTCTCTACTGATTTGGTTACTCTTGCATCATTGTTTCCTTAGAGGTGGAGTCTTCCACAGTGACCACACGCATTGTATCCCAGATCAAGACCAAAGGTGCTTTGGCTGTGTCCTTCACTTTCTTCGGAACCTCCTTCCTTTTCATCACTTCCCATTTTACATGTAAGACTGATAACTGGGCAGTAAAGTATTGTATATCAGCAGTAATCTTTCATTCCTATATCAGTCTGGCTTTGTTAAACTGGTAAATGATTAGCTGGTTGGGTTACATCACACATCTTGAATGAGCCCAGATGTGACCCACACCATACGTCCCTGCTCTTTTTCTTTCTCACATTATTTAAAATTGTGATGTAAAAAGTACAAAGTATTTAATGGTACAAAAATAAGCTAAAGCAGGGAATGTCTAAATGGTGAAAGATAATTTGCATACAGTGCACATATAGATTTCTAAGTCCAATGTTGAGGTTCAGGAGGGCCCCTGGCCCTGGAATTCCATGTGCCTCTTTGAATAGTATAGAGGTATGCATAACTGGACATACTGGGGTTTATTTACTAAAGCTGGAGAGTCCAAAATCAGACTCCCTTCTGCATAGAAACCAATCAGCTTCTAACCTCAGCTTGTTCAATGAAGCTTTGGCAATGAAACCTGGAAGCTGATTGGTTTCTATGCAGAAGGGAGTCTGATTTTGGACTCTCCAGCTTTAGTAAATAAACCCCACTAGTTCTGACTCTGAAGCTAGAAGTCCGTATTTGCACAGATTAGTGTAGGACCAAACTTGATATAAAAAGTTTTAATTGTGTCATTTGGGGGTGAGCAAGATTGGGGTCTGAGGGGATTTTCTATTGTGCATTTCTGCACTGACATCTTAAACTCCACAGTGTACTTTCTCCATTGGCAATTTCAGGCTTCACTCAGTTTTTGTAAATTGGGGTCCTGTTATCTATGTGCTGGATCTGCTGTATTTACAAAACTCTGCCTGATTTTTGTTGTTGATCATCAATTACTTACTGAATCTCTCTCACACTTCTGATTTGCAGCTGGAGATGGAAAGGTGAATGAAAGGATTCAGGACTATAAGAAGATTGTTGAGGGTCTTACACTACCTCGCAGTGTCCCTGATACAAACCCATTCCGTTCTGATCCCTGTGAGTATCAAGTTGGACACAGGGAGACTAAAAGTCAGCAGTAGAGGGGAAAAAAGTTGTCAGTGTCTCACATAGCAACCAGTAGGATTCTTCTTTTTTTTCCTAAACAGTAGTGTAAATAGAACAGCTTCAGTGTGATTGTCACCTTCAGTGCTACAGATTATGGCCTGAAACTTTTGTCGTTGGCAACATGGGACTCCACATTAGCCTACAGCTTCCTTACTGCTTCTTTCTTTACATTTTTATTGAAATTGTTATTAAACCCAGGACCCTGCATTCACTATATCTGGTTTCCCATAGTATAAAGAACATAGAAATGCAATTTTCTCATCAGCAGTTAGAGCAGTCTTGTGACTTCTATCAGTGTTGAGCAGAGCACTGGTTAAAGCTTGTAGGAGTTTTAATTCTGCTCTAGGAGGATACAGAACCCCTGTCCTCTGTCTGGACAGTGCTGATTGGCTTTGTGCTGATCACATGCATTCTCCCAAGAAAAAAAAACCTCTCTAGCAATACACACCAACTGAACATGTGCAGTGTGTCTCCACACCATATGTCTTATCAGGAGATAAGAAGGGTAGGATCAGAGAAGTCAGGATCAAACAGCATTTTTACACAATGCAGAGGATTAACCCCTTAGGTTCCACAGTGAGTATAACAAGCATGCTTTACTGCAAATACAGACTGATTTTACTGTTGTGTGTTTAGTAACACTTACAAGTACTTAAGTACAAAAAAGTACCATTATTGCAGCTAAATTATGGATTTGTGCATAAACCTTTAACTGTGTTTAGAAATAGTGCTAATATTACACATGAAATCTGTTTTTTAAATGGTTAGCATTTTTCCATTCTATTTATCTTTTCATCCTCTGTATATGTGTGTGTATGTATCTATATATATATATATATATATATATATCTATATCTATATCTCTATATCTATATCTATATCTATATCTATATATATATATATATATATATATATATATATATATATGTGTGTGTGTGTGTAGTATGAGTATATATATAAAGGAGTGATAATGCTTTTATTAGTTTTCTCAACCCTTTTTCAGTCAAGGCACCCTTTAAAATTATGGACAGTCTTGAGTCACCCCATTTTAAAATGTGAAAAACTATTCTAATAGTTTTATATAATGCAGCAACATCCACACATGTAGGACACCCAACGTTAGAGGGGATTTATTCTTCCAAAGCAAATACACTTTTGCACACTGGTACTGACTAGTATTCCATGGTTTCTCTTCTCCCTCAGTTTTTCTCCATCACTGAGCTAATGTGACCCCAGCACTGATGGAGAGGGGCAGGGGAGGGTCAAACCTGGATGCTGTGCAGACAACCGACATCCTCCTTATCAACTGATGATGTAATTGGTTGTCAGGACGCCAGCAGCTAGAAGGTCGTAATGGTGCACAATGAAAACCTGTGGCTTTGTGGTAACTAAAAGGCAGGCTTGATCCACCTGCTGGCTTTTATACAAGTTTTGGGCAATTTTTAGACATTTTGCCAAGGCTCCCCTGAAGAAACCTCAAGGCACCCTGGTTGAGAAAGGCTGGCATAGGAAACACAGCCTGTGTAGTGTCTGTGCTGTGTTGCCCCATTTTAAAAAAAAAAATTTCAGTAATCGTGTTGCCCCATTTTTATGATGCATCTCAATACAACTCTATACCTCTCTGAGAATGCAAAAACTTGAATCAATTCGGAATGAAATCAGTTGTTTTATACTTGTCGTAAATTTCTGAATGATTTCACAGTGGTCTGAAACTAATGCCACTGAACACAAGCTCAAGGCCAATCGACACAGGATGATAAAAGTAATACTAAAGGCTATATTTATAAAAAAATATATATATATATATATATATATATATATACACACACACTATATTGCCAAAAGTATTGGGCGAGCCCTCCAAATCATTGGATTCAGGTGTTCCAATCACCTTCATGGCCATAGGTGTTTAAAATCAATCACCTAGGCATGCAGGCTGCCACGTAAAATGACAGAGCGGGTCACCACATGCCGGTGCGCAGAAGTCTCCAACTGTCTGCAGAGTCAATAGCTAAAGACCTCCAAACTTCGTGTGGCCTTCAGATTAGCACAACAGTGAGCATCAGGTTCCCCTCACTGGAACTAAGGGGCCAAACCCAACCCCTAAAAAAACAACCACACACCATAAATCCCCCCTCCACCAAACTTTACACTTGGCACAGTGCAGTCAGGCAGGTATAATTCTCCCGGCAACCCAATACGTCCATCGGATTGCCAGACTGAGAGAAGTGATTCGTCACTCCAGAGAACACGTTTGCACTAGAGTCAAGTGGTGGCATGCTTTACACCACTCCATCCAACGCTTTGCATTGCACTTGGTGATGTAAGGCTTGGATGCAGTTGCTCGGCCATGGAAACCCATTCCATGAAGCTCTCTACGCAATGTTGTGCTAATCTGAAGGCCACATGAAGTTTGGAAGTCTCCCAGTTGCTTCCACTTTGGTATAATACCACTAACAGCTGACTGTGGAATATTTAGTAGCAGAAATTTCACGGATGGACTTTTTGCACCGGTGGCAACCTATCACTGTACCACACTTGAATTCACTGAGCTCTTCAGAGCAACCCATTCTTTCACAAATGTTTGTAGAAGCAATCTACAATATATATATTTATTTCTTTTTTCCTGCTCTGCATAACAGGAGAAAAATGACTGCTCTTCGCTCATTGCACAGTTTCCCACTGGCACTGTCTGTGACTTCTTCCTACAAGCGCCCCCTTAGCAAGCCAGCTGCTAAGAGGGCACCTTTGCACATGCACCAGAACCGAGCTGTGTGCATCCATAGATGCACAGTGCTAACAAGCCAAACCCCCCTCTCCCTCCACACAGTAGTTAGACTGATGCCTATGGCTCCCGCTGCTCTCTGTGTCTCTTGTGAATTCAGGAAGTGAAAGGAGCAGTGCCGCAGACAGGATCGGTGGGAGGAGTTGGATAAGTGTTTAGGGATGGGGGTGGGTCGGATAGGTAGTGGGGTGTTTTTTACCTTAATGCAGAGAACCCATTAAGGTAAAAAAAAAATGCTTAGACTTTAAAACTACTTTAAGCAGTGTGTATTCAGATACTAGACCTCTATCTCCCACCTCCATCCACCATTCCTCCTTCGTAGCAAATATTTTGATGAGTTTTTTATGCTGCCAGTTATACCCGATGGCAAGGGTAGACCCATTTCTTTTTGTAGGTCTTTGCTTTTTATTTATCACAGAGTAGATATCCGGATAATAAATGCCTGTATTTACTGTTAATGATGATCCAGTCTAAGCAATGCAGCCACCCTGTTCTTCTTTTTTTTTTTTTTTTTTTTTTCTTTTTGCTCGGCCCACAAGTGGATGCCACTACACGATTTGACGAAGTCTTCTGGTTTGGTGACTTCAACTTCCGGTTAAACAAGGATCGGAATGGCGTGAACTCTATTCTACAACACAATCTAGTGAAGGACATGTCCCAGCTGCTGCAGTACGACCAGCTCATCAAGGTCATGAACGGTGGTAAGATATGGAAACAGAGCTTGTGTATAAACCTTGAACTTCCTCATACATCACCATCTTTGGGGCACCTAAAGAAGCATTTGCTTCACTTTCTGATACCTGCGCCATCTAGTCTTGGTGCCTATTCATTTGTGTTTTTTTTCCAAGCAGGGCCCCTTAATGAAAGTTTCCTTTAATGAACTTCAACTTGGCAGTTGATTAGATCACACAAGCTCATCCTTGAGCTGCAGTTTATTTGCACATCTTTCAGCTGGTACAGTTGGTAGTGAGAACAAATGGATTTCAGATGACTAAAATATTACTACATTAGTGTGTTTGTTTCATTATGTTTTTTTTTTTATAAATCTACAGGCTCCATATTTAAAGGGTTTCAAGAATCAACAATTGAGTTTCTTCCTACGTACAAGTTTGACATTGGCTGTGACCAATATGACACAACGTCGAAGCAGAGAACGCCTTCATATACAGTAAGAACATCTCAGACTATATTTGTGCCTGCTGTGCCTTAACAATATTAGGAGTCACACTGTGTCTGTGGCCACCCCCAGTATTGCATCCTTCTGATATCTAGAGGTTCATAGTAGCTCAGCGATACCATGTTAAGATTATAGTTTTTACTTGTGTATGGGCATCTGAGCTAACATCAGTGCTGCTATTTTATATTTGTCATCATAGGACAGGATTGTCTACAAGAGTCGCCAAAAAGGAGATATCAAAGTCCTGAAATATGCCTCCTGCCCGCTGGTGAAAACATCAGACCATCGGCCTGTGTTTGGGTTATTTGAAGTGCGGATAAGACCTGGAAGAGATAAGTACGTTTTGATGAATTGTGCTGAAATTGTCCACGAAGAGCAGATAACTTAATTTTAGGCTGACAAGAGCAGAGTGACAAGTGACAAACTTGCAGATTTCCTACAGACCCATTACCACCTCATTACAAGTGCAACTGACTTGGCTTGTATCCTCTTTTAAGTAAATCTGTCAAACATGCTAACCTGTATTAGTTAAGATCACTGGAATTGTCAAATGCCAGCCCGTCTACAAGTCGCCAAGGCTCTGGCATTGGGCTGCTCAGTGTGCAAAATCGGGGATTGTTCTCCCCTTGCAGAGCAGTTGAGGTTCTGCTCACAGCAAGACTGGAATCCAGGGTCCTCCCAAAGCAGAAAGTAACTATTATGTATACTATGTGTATGGCATTTATAAATGTGAAATATATATCTGCAAAAATGCTATAAATTGAGAACTTTCAGAAATAGAAGTGTTTAATAGTTTGTTTTTATTTACTGATTTTGTTAATTGATAAAAACAAAGTAAATTAACAGAAGAGATATCCAAATCAGATCAATATTTGGTATGACCACCCATTGCCTTCAAAACAGCATCAATTCTAGGTAATCTTGCACACAGTTTTTGAAGGAATTCAGCAGGTAGTTTGTTCCAGACATCTTGGAGAACTAACCACAGATCTTCTGTGAATGTAGGCTGCCTCAAATCTCTCTGTCTCTTCATGTAATCCCAGACAGACTCCATGATGTTGAGATCAGGGCTCTGTGGGGGCCAAACCGTCATTTTCATGTCTCCTTGTTCTTCTTTATACTGAAGATAGTTGTTAATGACATTGGCTGTATGTTTGGGATCTTTGTCCTGCTGCAGAATACATTTGGAGCCAATTGCATACCTCCCTGATTGTATGTCATGATGGATAAGTATCTGCCTGTATTTATCAGCATTGAGGACACCATTGATCCTGACCAAATCTCCAACTCCATTTGTGGAAATGCAGCCCCAAACTTGCAAGGAACCTCCACTATGCTTCAATGTTGCCTGCAGACACTCATTGTACTGCTCTCCAGCCTTCCAGTGAACAAACTGTCTCCTGCTGCAGCCAAATATTTCAAATTTTGACTCATCAGTCCAGTGTACCTCCTGCCATTTTTCTGCACCCCAGTTCCTGTTTTCATATAGAGTTGAGTTGCTTAGCCTTGTTTCTACATTGGAGGTATGGTGTTTTGACCACAATTCTTCCATAAAGACAACATTTGGCCAGACTTCTCCAGAAAATAGATGATGCACATCTTCTGATGTTGAAGGAAAGTATGCATTATGTGTCTTTCATCTGCTGCATTAAGTTCCTTTGACCAGTCACTGCGTTTATAGTCCTCAGCGGTGCAGTTTTTTTGTGCTTCTTCAAAAGAGCTTGAACAGCACATCTTGAAACTCCATTCTGCTTTGAAATCTTTGCCTGGGGCAGACCTTGCTGATGCAGTATAACTACATTGTGTGCTCAGTCTTGTCATGGTGTATGACCTGTGATATGAAACTGTCTTCCACAACTGCACCTTAGTAACAGAGTTTAGCTGTTCCTTACTCAGTTTTAAGCCTCCTACAGCTGTTTCTGTATCAGTTAATGACTGTTTCAACCTACATATTAAATAATTGGTTAACCTCCCTGGCGGTATTCCCGAGCTAAACTCGTGCTTACCATGCGGCACTGCTCCGCGATCCCTCGGTCACTTACCTTGTCCTGCGCTCCCGCAATGTCCCTCCTGCAGTGTCCCCGGCATCTGTCATCTGGGTTCCATCCTCTGCGAGCGCCAGGACGTACGGGGGCCGGAACGGCGGGAAATTTGAAAATGACAAAAAGTGGTGGCATTCACAAAAAATCACATAGTAAAACATTACTGTACCATTTCACATACATTTTGTCCCTAGTGCTTTGTCCTGTGCTCTGCCTGCATTTTTACTGTTCTTTCTACCTGGAAACTGAGAAATGTCCATGGCGTCCAAAAAGCATCTCTTTAGGTCAAAAGCGGTTTTAGACCAGCTAGAGAACAGCGATAGTAAATTAGAATTACTTGCAGAATTGAGTGATTTGTGGGGAAATTCGTCATCAGACACTGAAAACGATTTTGCGACTTTGCTCAGTGATGTGCGAACTTGGTGCTATATTTCAAACTTCAGTGTTTTTGGTTTGATTATATTATTGAATTAAATTTATTATTATATTATTATTTTTTAGGAATATTTATTAAATTATAATTTATGATTTCGTGTTTCAAGTTTTATCCTACCCGGGATGTTTACTAGACTCCCTTGTTCGGACAGATTTCAGTGAGTTATTCCTAAAATTACAGGCCTACAATATAAAACTACATATTTCCATGCAAAATAATGGTACCGCTTTCAGCACCAAAAATCTGAAATAATCATACCGCTAGGGAGGTTAATGGCATATTTGGTTAATCCTTCACCTGACTCAAATCCTGACTTTGTGCAAATGTAAGAATTCGTGCTGGTTTGAAGCCAAAGGGTGGTCTCCAAATATTGATGTGATTTAAGATTTTTCTCCTGTTTGCTCACTTTGCATTTTGAGGAGTCTTTCTTCCAATCAGCTCGCAGCTCTCCTCACTGAGCTTTGCAGTGTGTAATTTCAGCTCTCCGCCCCTCTTTATTTGAACTTGCAGACAAGCACTAATTCAGTACTTTGAACGGCTGTAGAGAAGACTGCAGATAAACAGGTATAATGTAGGATTTGTTTAATCTCAGCATATCACCTTCACTGGGTATATGTAAGGGATTACAACCACTTTAAGGTAGGAGAGAAGAATATGGATGGGTAGTATTTTGAAAAAGTTAGGCTTGAGTCTCTGTAACATCCGGACTGACAGATTTAAGCTTAGAGCCTCTGACTTCTGGTAATATATGTGAAAGTTTGATAATTCCCCATAAGATAGAAACTCTGCCATCAGATCTAGGACGATGATATCAAGTTGGCTAATAAAAAAAAAAAAAAAAAAACAATAGACTGTTGGCATCCAAGTATGGTCTAAACAACCGCTTGCCCTCAAAAGGACATCCTCTCAATTTGCTTCTGGCAGAAATGTTCTGCTATAAAGAAGAAGGGTTAGCCGCACACGGGATGCTTGATGAAATATCACAGTAGTTTATTGAATCCATAGGACATGAAAAGCACCAGGACAAGTACAGAACTGTTGACGCGTTTCACACGATCACGTGCTTGTTCATAACCATGTGTTCGCGTGAAACGTGTCAACAGTTCTGTACTTGTCCTGGTGCTTTTCATGTCCTATGAATTCAATAAACTATTGTGATATTTCATCAACCATCCGGTGTGCGGCTAACCTTCTTCTTGATTGCAATACGTGTGGTGGCAAGCCAGAGCGTGCACCTGCCTGGGTTTAATGTGGATCGTTTACCTGAGCGGTAATTTTTGTTCTTTAGAAATGTTCTGCTGACCAATAGCCATAGGATCCTTCTCTCATGTGGACAGATAAGTCCCCACCTGTAAGTGCTATTGTATGGAATCTTCCAAGGCATCTGACCAGAAACTCTTCCAGGAACTGCCAGATGGCAGGATCCCCTGGGCCCTATTCTCTGAAATAAAGCAACTCTTTGTGCGCCAAGAATACGCTATGATATTCTGACTAGAACAAAAGAGAGAGGTGGTTTAGGACTCCCAGATTTTAAGAGATATTATAAAGCGGTGATAATTGCGAGAATTTTTGACTGGACCCATAACCCAGGGAAAAGCTGGGTCAGAATTGAAAATACACTGAGTGGGACAAATTTAAGTAGGATTATATGGTTACCTGCACAATATAGAGGACTAGATGTTAACACAAGTGTGTACACTTTTATTGTTTTAAAAATTTGGGAAATATTACATAGACAAAATGGATGGGTTTTTAATTCACAGTTAATGCCACTAAGGAATTCAGATTATTTTGCTCCAGGGAAGGAAGATATCACAGGGAAATGGATCATAAAAGAGGATGCCCAATTGAGAGACATAATGGTGGGGGAGGAAATAGGAACATACAGGGAGTTGAAGCAGAAAAAGGGAGAAGTTTTTAGCAGAATGGACAACCTTCGATATCATCAACTGAAATATTTCTTTGGGAGTCTCCCAAAACCTGTGAGAGAACCAGAAAGGAGTGGAATGCATTTGAAAAATTATTTGAGGCACGGGGAGATGGGAGACACACAGTTGCAAAAATTTATAGAATATTAACGAATTTAGACACAGGCACAAAACTAATTTATATAGAGAGAAGTGGGAAAAAGATATGGGAAGGGAAATAGATGAGGAGCAGCAGAGGAAAATGCTTAGAATAATTCATGAAAACATTAGTATGCGGGAAGTGGAGTTGAACTATAAGTGTTTAGTAAGATGGCACATCACACCAAATGTGGAACACAAATTGAACAGGGAGATTTCACCAGTGTGTTGGAGAGGATGTGGAGAGGTGGGTACGTTATATCATGTATGGTGGGAGTGTTCAAAAATACAGGTGTTTTGGAGTAAAATTGTATACTTAATAAGAAAAATTACTGAGATTGATATTAGTTTGGATCCAGAGCTATGTCTTCTCCATGTCTCAAAGCTTTCAGTGAAATCTTATAAGGATTTAGGAATCGGATATTTCTTGAGCGCAGCTAAGAGTCTTATACCCAGGTTCTGGAAAAAAAGGGAGGTGCCAACAGAGGAAGATTGGTTGATCAGAATAAATCAGATTTGTGCGACGGAAAGATTATATTATATGGATATTGATATGATGGAGAAGTATAATATAAAGTGGAAAAAATGGGAGGAATATAGAGAAAAAGTGAAATATATGATGATGATGTATACCCCTCATAGTTAAAAAAGTTGAGTTTCAGAAATGGTTTTAGAGAAGGGAAACGCTGAGTGGGGGGGGGGGGGGGGGGGGGGGGGGGGGGGGGGGGGGGTGAGGGAAAGGGAGGGTAGGGGAAGTGGGATATAGATAAGTTATGTTAATAAAAAATTTCCATTTGATGTTTTTTTGTATAGAAACAGGTATTTTGTAATTTGTATTTGGAAGTAAATTAATAAATATTTATAATAATAAAAAAAAAAAAAGGACATCCTCTCAATTTGCTTCTGGCAGAAATGTTCTGCTGTAAAGAAGAAGGGTTAGCCGCACACGGGATGGTTGATGAAATATCACAGTAGTTTATTGAATCCATAGGACATGAAAAGCACCAGGACAAGTACAGAACTGTTGACGCGTTTCACACGATCACGTGCTTGTTCATAACCATGTGTTCGCGTGAAACGTGTCAACAGTTCTGTACTTGTCCTGGTGCTTTTCATGTCCTATGAATTCAATAAACTATTGTGATATTTCATCAACCATCCGGTGTGCGGCTAACCCTTCTTCTTGATTGCAATACGTGTGGTGGCGAGCCAGAGCGTGCACCTGCCTGGGTTTAATGTGGATCGTTTACCTGAGCGGTAATTTTTGTTCTTTAGAAATGTTCTGCTGACCAATAGCCATAGGATCCTTCTCTCATGTGGACAGATAAGTCCCCACCTGTAAGTGCTATTGTATGGAATCTTCCAAGGCATCTGACCAGAAACTCTTCCAGGAACTGCCAGATGGCAGGATCCCCTGGGCCCTATTCTCTGAAATAAAGCAACTCTTTGCGCACATTAAAGCTTAAGTCACTTTAGTTTGTTTGGGCTACCCTTCATGTCCACGGATCACGAGATGGCTCAAACAAATGATTTCCATTACTGATTTGGTTGCTGTGTGCACTGTATTATATTGTAGTAGCATCAGCTACATGCAGTATGGTGCTCTACAGCAGTACAACTGACATCCTGTCAACTGCTGAAACAAAATCAAGTTGGCCTGAATGCTTCTCAGCCATTCAGGAAAAGCCTTGTATTTTTGTCAGTGAATATCAGGCTTCTAATTGACTGAGATGGAGATTATGGAGTCACCTGCCTGCCTCTCCACCTTTGCCAATCAGGGAAAGCCTTGTATTCATTGACAAAAGTAGAAGGCATTTCCTGAATGGCAGAGAAGCATTCAGGCAGACTTGATTTTGTTCTGGCAGCAAAAGGGAAGCTCCCCATACTGGTGCATAACACCGCACTGCAATACTGTATGTAGCTGATGATATTACATTATAATACAACATACACAGTGGTCCCCTTTAAAAAAAATAATTGCTGCAACCTGTATTTCTACTGTGCCTCTGAGAAAGCCACTCTGCTGCTGCCGCCACGTGATTTGCAAGATGACTGTCTGCAGGCTGTTTCACCCATATCTTAATGGATATGAAGATAGCCTGTGTCCTGGGATGTACAACAAAGACATTCACTTTTTCCATTATTTAAGCCCTTTACAGTGTAAAATGCCTTAGACTTGGTGGGCAGTGTTATCTGATCAAGGTCCAATAAAGGATTTTTGATGTGTGATTGCTTTGTGGTAACCATGTAAATGATTGGATATTGGGAAGAGAGAAAGTTCTTTGGCTAGAGCCAGCAAGCAGAGCTGTGAAAGTTTGGAGCGCATATAAAAAAATTTTGGTTCCCTTCTAAATGAAATATTTTAGAACATAAGATGCATCTGTGAGTCTATCATATTGATGGTTAAAAGGTATATTCTGCAATTTGTTTTTTCAGCATTCCACTGGCTGCAGGGCTATTTGATCGTGAGTTGTATCTTCTGGGAATCAAGAGGCGGATTTCACGAGAGCTACAGAAACGGCAGGTGATAAAGAACCAGAAAAGTAGTGCAGTCTGTGCAATCTCCTGACTAGAGAGCTATGGAGTCTGGTGAGCAGATGGACATAAGTATTTTACTTGCCTGTCGTGGCTGACCTCAGGAGTCAGGATGCCTCAAAGTGTGCCTACAATGTAGGAAGCCATTACAGTGGCTGAGGGTTCAGAATCAACCAATCACTTTAATAGGAGCATGTGGATGTCATTACCATTTTGTGAGGTGAACCAGTGTGCAACATATCAGTTTGTTAGGAACGCCTCTCTCCATTCAGCATTGTTGTTTGTACCTCGCAAACTAAAAATCGATCCATCTTAGAAGGAAGCTGCCTGCACTGCATGCAGAGGACAGGAATGCCAGTTCATGGGAGGTAGTAATTGTTTGGTAATCTGATGACACAGAAGCCTGTTATGTTAAACTAGGTTTTATTTTTTTTTTTTTACCATTGAAAGAAACGCATGTGAAAAGGGACCATTTTACATAAAGTGGCTTACAGTAACCTCACCAAACAGCAATGTTGCAATACTAACTTTATCTTGCAAAGGGGGCTCTAGATGTTAATCAAGTGAGCTCCCAGCATGCATCTTTCCTTGGCCTTCCTGTGTTATACTGAAATGTAATATATGTAAATATTTATTTATCTTTTAATTGGCCATGAAATAAAGTCATTCCTCATCTTCTGTGCTGTATGCCATTAAAGAAATCTGCTAAGCATTGTGAAAATCATGGATTTCCCTCTACATTCCCTAGAGACCCTTGTCATCACTGAGATCTGTAACAAAACTGAGCTGCTTCCCTATTCATAAGAACATGGTCTGTCCATTCACAAGAGACCAGTGGCATCACTGAACTACAGTACATATTCATAAGAATGCAACCTGTCTATGCACTAGACATCAGTGAAATAACAGACACTTCATGTTCATGAGAACACAGACTATTCACTCACCTTAAAGGATAAGTTCACCTTCTTTGAAAAAAATAAAATACATAAATGCACATATTTTTGCAGGAAAACATGTGCATTTATTATTTTTTCCCTAAGGAGCCTGGAAAGCATTGCCCCTGTGATCAGTGGTGCAATGCCAGACTCCTGTAGAAAAGCCCTGCAACTTTCAGCCTGTACCTTCATACAGGCTGACTGTATACAAGCTGCAGGGCTTGTGAATGAAAGATGAGGCTGCTCATCAGTAACCCTGCAGTCCATTCAGAACTACAAGCAGCTGACGGTACTTGTAATTTAAGTCATTTACAGGAAACTGAATGAACGCAGCGTGTGGCCAGAGCCCTGCATGGCTGCGTTATTTTCAAATCGTGACAGTGGGTGCTGGGAGAAGAACCCAGCTCGTTCTCACTGGGAGAAGGCTGAAGCTGCTGGAACATGTTACAGGTTCTACCTTAAATTATGAGTGGAACAAAAGGTGAACTTATCCTTTAAACAAGTAACATCATCAAGACACTTTCTATATATGAGAACGTGACCAGAGACATCACAGAGATGCTTCACATTCATGAGAATGAAGTCTATTTACTTCCTAAAAGACCAATGACATTAACAGTTCATCTTCATGTAAAATTTGACTATCCACCCAAAATGACTGTTTATCTACTAAACACTGGGGTTCTAATGTTATGAAGAGGCTCCACCATCTGTACCACTACATGACAGTTTTAAAACAATGACTGTCAGTAAAGGAAAAGTTCATTATAAAATTACAATGGCATACGGTTATGAGTATGGCTAGAAGCATGTCTGTCTATACTGGAACTGGTGTGATCGCTATACAGAGAGCACTTCTGATTTCCCCAGTGAACTCAAAGAAAAGCAATTTTGGAGTTTATGCAGCCAACTCTTATTAGGCCTGTTGCACACGGGAGTAAAAAATGCTGACTTTTTTTTTTTTTTTTACTGATCTGTAAAGAGATGTATTGCTGTCTATGGGTCATCACACACAGCTGCGTAAAGATCAATAATACAGTGTTGAGTACAGAGCAGTAAAACAAAAATAGAAAATGTTTACATTTGAGTGCCATAATTTAATCGTGTTCATTTGTTTAGGCCCCTTTCACACGAGCGTCATCATTTACTGAAGTTTACTCAGGAACTTGTGATACCTGTGTGCAAGTGGTCAAAAACTGTATGTAAAGAGCTCATGTTGAGTATAGGTGTGTATAAGTGTACACACAAGTAAAATGCTTCTCTATTGCCAGTATTGTGGCCCCTTGCACACAGATGTCACAAGTTCCTGAGTAAACAAAACGACACTGTGTGCACAGGGCCTAACTGTTCATGCTTTTATTAATGTTTGCAGCTATAGTGAAAACATTGTAGCAACTCTTCCATTACAGAAGTACCAGCTGCGTCCTGACTGTCATGAAAGAATTGGGGGATGAGGAGAGTCATACAGAGCAGTAAAACCCACTGATGGTTTATCCCCCTCCCCCACTCTATTCAAGGCTAAAATTAATGTATTTCCAAAATATCCAAATAATACAGGTTCACTGCAAGGCAGCCCGCCAAACTGTAAGGATTGACCAATACTGGTTGCTAAGGGTGGATAGAGGTAGATGTTTGCATATACATCTATGCACAATCTACTGAACCTGGTTGTACTCAGCGGGAAGACCTCAGCAATGCTCTGACACAGAACCATATATTTGTTATGAGAGGCATTGCCACCTTTGAGTGCTAGGCTCACAGGTATTGGAGTGAGACTTGGTGATGTCACTACTGTGACAGCATAAACGATCAGCTGCTGAGCAGCCATTGGCAATACTAGTGACTAGTTCTTTTCCCGCAGCCTTTTTCGGACACAGATTGCAGAGTTCAGGTCCTCTTTACAACAATAATAATGACCCAAAAGTTGCTTTTGACCTAGACCCACTTATACCTAAAAGAAGCCTGCACTGGAGTGGCCTGCTGCAGATGACCTCCCCCCCTGCACTGTTGTATCTGAAGGACAGTTATCACCATTCACATTGACCAATATCTCTCATCTTCCATCATGTCCATTTAAGATTTGTAGTCTTTAAAACAGAACATCAGGAAAACCATTAAATACCCAGCAGATATGCATACAGTTTGACCTAACAGACATTTTATGATACATTCACACATGAAATAGCAGGGTTAATGTCCTTACTTTTCTCTGTAGTGTCAAGACTGGACAAGAAAGCCAATACTTCTACCAGCATGTTCCCTACGAGTTCTCACGCCTGCTTTATGGGGCATTACAGGATACTACTTTGAAGAAAGATTTAATCCAGCCTTTCTCAACCTTTTTAAGACAGAAGAACCTTTAAATTAACTTTCTGGTCTCAGGGAACCCCCCTGATAAAAATTACTATATCCACAACTTATGATAGATTAGTATGATGGTCAGTTGGAAGAATGCTGCTTACACTTGTGGACATTGGGACAGGTGTTTTCCATTTATTTCAATAGGGAGGCGGGTTTTTGGTACTTTTTTAAAAAATGCATCAGACCTGCAACAGATGTGTGAAGAGCGCCATAGAAATGCACATTCACACAATTTTCTTCCGTTTTTTTTTCTTGTAAATGCAAAAGCGGAAGAAAAATGGATCAGTGTGAAAGCAGCTTTAGTGTTTAGATGTACTATAATGAATACATACCTGGATTAGAGGATAGACTTTTATAGTTCCCTATAGCTTTAGCTCATAGAACACTTGCTGTGCCTGCTTTCATCTTGTCATTTAAAGTGCTAAAGGTTTTTTTTTTTTTCTTAACCTCAATGCATTCTCTGCATTGAAGTAAAAACCTTACAACACTATTCCCCCAGCCCCCTAACACTTACCAGAGACCTCTAACAATCCACCTCTGTCCCCAGATGCAAGTCTTCTCTCCCCTCTCCTTGGCTATGCTGAGAGCAGCAGGAGCCATTGGATCCTGCTGCTGTCAGTTCAATCCTGTAAAGAGAGAGGGGGGAGAGACAGATGCGCTGTGAGGCAGCACAAACAGAAAAAGAGGAGCTGACAGTTTCAGCAGGGGACCCCAGAAGAGGAAATAAGTATCTACCCTGTGCATTGCCATTGCACATAACAGGTATGTATAAACCCTCTTTTTTATTTTAACTAAAAGAGGAAAAAAAAAAAGGGGGGGGGGGGGGGGGGGTTACGATCACTTAAACTAAGAGCTGCTTACAAAACAGAAAAAGTTAAACTAGGAAAATGACCAAATTTACTTTTTTTTCCCACATTTAATTCCACAAAATAAATTTCTTCACATGAGGGGGGTACCATTTACTATCTAATGGCTAAATCTAATTTATTTTTTTTTTTTGTGCTCAGCATGATGGGAGATTTCCTTTTACTCTACACTGCAGCATGTACAATATTAAGGTAAACCTAAGCCAGGCAAAGTAGCAGGTTCACTTAACTGCTCCCTGTACATATTCGCCTTACCTTTGCTGCTCTGCAACTCTTAACTGCTGGAAACAAAGAGAAATTCCTCATCCTCTGATGGGACAGCACTGGTGTTTGAGGACTGGTCCAGTGCTGTCACATGGGGGCAGAGAGAGTTCTCAGCCTTGTGTAAGCTCCAAGTTATTAACAAATGGCCTTCTCTCTTTGCTGCCAAATGGGAGTGAGCAAACGTTGAGTGTGTGCTGTTACAGTGGCAAGTGGAAATTAAGTGAACCTGCTCCTTTTCCCTGCATGGGGAAAAAAAAAAAAGCACAGGTTTACTGTAATCTGACACTTAAACAATGACACAGGAACAAATGCAGTCCTTTAACAGTTGAACAGGCAGAAACTTTGTATGCAGAACCATTGAAGACGAAAATGCAGTCTTTATATTCACCATGGGGATGTAGTCACCAGTTCCCATAGTCGATACCCTGAACATCAATACTGCTGTTTCGGTAAGCCAGCATAAGCTTTCATCAGTAGCAGCAGGTCTGGACCTGATATTGTGGATTTCATTGATTGCGACTGTGATGCCTTCTATGCCAAGCATCCATAAACAGAAAATACAGTGTAGCACAAACTTTGTCCTCCTGTGGCATCTCTTAAGAGATCTCAGCGGGCAGCTTACTTCAGTGAAGCAATCTATCGGAACAGGCGGTATGACCGTGGAAGGCGTCCATCTTTACTGGAGAGTGCGGTCTGGATCTGATCATAGTCTGGTAACTCGGATAGGTCCCCTAACGCTGCCACTGCAGGCTTATTCCTCAGCATCTTTGTTGCTACCCTTTTGATGTCACTTGCTTTAATGTTGCCTGCAAAGTATATTAAATAGTTAAACAAACCCTTCAATACAACCAGAGATATTACATACTGCACTTAATATGAGCTAAGGACCTCTGTTAGCCATTAAAGAGCACAGCTAAGGATCTAAAGCTAAACACTGCAAATGTATTTAAAGCGGAGATCCAGTCAAAATTAAAAAAAAAACTGTAGCTGCTGACTTTTGAAAAACAGACACTCGCACCACTCAGGTTCACCGGCCATCCTGTGTGTCCAGTGCTGGCATCTTCCGTGTGGAAACCCGGCTGTGACAGCTTGCGGGCTCACAGCCGGGTGCCCACTGCGCATGCGCAAGTAGCTTTGTGAGTGGTCCCGTAGTCTTCTGGGACCTGTCACGTGTCCCAGAAGACTACGGGGAGGGAGGGCAACTTCCACTTCTGATCACCTAGGCGATCGCAGCGGAAGTGGGAGCAGGTACCTGTCAAATTCAGGTGTCTGGCTCCATAATCATCAAATGATAGATAACTATCTTTAGAACCTGAGAGAGCACTGCATCACAGTGTGTAGACTGATTACCTTTGCTTGGATGTGTATATGCCCTCTAGGAGGAGCTGAATCTTCTCCTTCCTCTAATTTTGAGACTGGGATCTTAAAGTTACCAGGCCTAGTGTAGGAGAAATGAAAGATCTAGTCTTGGTGTCCCTCTAGCTGAGGAAAAAAAAAAAAACCTTAGGTTTTAGATAACTGTTCTGAGGAAGCCATGAAAACCTGGTTGGAATTTAACCGCTTTCCCACCGCCTTATAGCAGATATACTGCTAAAGGGCAGCAGGGGTGCGCAAAATCACATATATATACATGATTTTGCATATCCAGGTAGGGGGTGTACACAACCCACGTGCGTGCCCTACCCACGCCGCCATTCGCAGCCATGGCTGTCAATCATTGGGTCCTGGCCAGTGATTAATCGCCGGCGCTCGCTGATTACTGAGCATCTCAGATGGGGGGGAGGAGGACTGTTTTGTTTACTAACAATCCTCCTCTCTGTCAGCTTGGGCACACTGCTTTGGATGGCTGTGCACAGCACAGCCATCCAAAGCAGTGCGATTACAGTGAAGCACACAGGCACCACCCCCCAGTAAAACACTCCCTGCAACACAGTTAACCCTTTGATTGCTCCTCATGTTAACCCCACCCTGCGCCATTAGTACAGTGTCAGTGCTTTTTTTTTTGCACTGATCACTGTATTGGTGTCACTGGGGATGTCAGTGACACCAAGTCAGTTCCTCCCAGTGTCAAAATGTCCACCGCAGTCCTACTAGAAGTCGCTGATCACTGCCATTACTAGTAAAAATTAAATTCCAGTATCTATACTACCATTTGTAAATGCTGTAACTTTCCCGTAAAACCAATTCATTTACACATATTGGGATTTTTTTTTTTTAAGCAAAGACACTTGGCAGAATACATTTTGGTGTAAATTTGACAAAATTAGATTTTTAAAAATTTTTTACTGGACATGTTTAATAGCAAAAAGTCAAAAATATATATTTTTTTTCTCAAAATTGACGGGTTTTTTTTTTAATATAGCGCAAAAAATAAATGCACAGGCGATCAAATACCACCAAAAGAAAGCTCAATTCGTGGGAAAAAAAGGACGTAAATTTCATTTTCGTGCAGTGTTGCATGACCGTCCAATTGTCAGTTAAATCAATGCAAAAAATGGCCTGGACAGGAAGGGGGGGGGGGGGGGGGGGTAAATCCTCAGGAGGGCAAGTGGTTAAAAGGCCTTTCATTTGAGAAGCAGTGCTGGGCTCTCATATTCAGGAGGGAGGCTGGGTGCTGCTCAGATGTTCCCTTTGCCAGATTACTGATGAAGAGTACTTCAGTTACTTTATGAATTCAGCTGCGCAGCGTTCGGTCACTAAACAAAGCACCTACTCAGCTGGTTTACTTACATTACTGGAACATATAAAACTACATTTCATTATGGTTTGTCAGAAGAGGACAGTGTATTCCCATAATCCCTTGTTATTGGAAACATGGAGCGGATTCTGTGCATCCCAATATCCTCCACAAAGTACTTACTAATAAGGCTACACAGTTCATGTGGGAGTTTCCGGGTGCCAGTTGCCAACACTTGTCTTCCAACATCCTCGAAAATCACAGGTCGAGATTCCAGGTTCATCATCAGCATCGATTTCAGCTGCGTCTTTGCACGTTCCAGCTCCACCTGCTCTGACCACAACAAAATATTAATGGGTGTATTTTACAAAATTGGATACAAAGTGCTTTGGCATCCCTCTATCCTGATTGTAACTACACGTCATGCACAGTGCAACTCACAGCAGTCTTTGGACTGAAGCAGTACATGCACACGCTCCCGCACAAAAAAAACACAGACGCAAAACCATATAGGTAATGTTAGACAATAAAAACTTTTAAGTAATTTAGCAAGGTAGAAAAAAAGTCCGTGTTTGCGCTATAACCATCTTATAAGCATTTGTCTGTACTATGTAGTGAAAGAACTGTAAGCAAAAATTGTGAAAAATAAAGGTCATCTTCATTAAAAAAAAAAAAATGCATTAAACAAATTTCAGCTTTAGGGTGATTGGCTGCCTTTAGGAAAGCACTCCCTCCTAATATAACACTCTTTCAGACAAGAGGCTCAGAACATGGGGAACATCAGATTATCCAGCGAGCAGACACACAAATTGGTACACTTATATAAAAGCATGCATGCAATAGTTAATGAATGATGCAGTACAGACCTCCCCTACAGATCCTGCCATCAGGGTGAACTCCCGAGTGATAATCTCAACCATCTCTCTCACCTGCAGAAAAATAATACTACTATTAAAAGGGGGTTTCCATCTTGGCCATATTAATCCAATGTGATATTCTCAGAGACCCATACAGAGCACCAGGGAGTAACATAAGTGTACTTAGAGCTGAACTCTATCCAAACGTTTTATTTTTGCTTTGCATAATATAGGAAATGACTAGATCTTTAAGTTTTTGTAAATGCGGTCTGTATCTCTACTAGAGAGACTTCCCTTCACTTCCTGTCAGAACAGGAAGTGAGGGGAAATCTCTCCAATAATGATACAGATTAAAATAAAAAAAAAAAAAAAAAAGTGTATTTGTGTATATATATATATGTGTGTGCGTATATATATATATATATATATATACACACATACACACACGTGTTTTATTGCAGTTCAAGCCTTCTTGTCCAAGTAACAACTACACAGCTATTCCCGTGGGGTCACAGGGATGGGTAGATAGGGGAAGAAAGAAAGAAAAAGTTTAATTCGTGCCCACTTGCAATCCAAAACTAAAGTCCAATTGGCTAAGAGGTAAGTTTAAATCTGAAATTTTGCTCTAAAATGTATCTGCTGGGGTAGCACAATAGGATCTGTGGCTGCAAATAATAAACTTAACCTATTGTGTCCTTTAGCGTGAATCTCATTACAGTAAAATATAAAGAATCAAAAACATATACATTAAAAAGTGATGGGTTTGGCATTTCAGTGTTAATCACTTGCCCTCCGGAAGATTTAACTCCCCCCTTCCTGATCAGTCCATTTTTTGCTATTCGGTGCTGCGCTATTTCAACCGGTAATTGCACGATCATGCAACGCTGTACCCAAACAAAATTTGTGTTCTTTTTTCACACAAATGGAGCTTCCTTTTGGGGTATTTGATCGCCACAGAGATTTTTATGATATAAATGATAACGGTCCGAACAGTTTAAAAAAGAAAAAAAAAAAAAAAAAAAACATTTTCTACTTTCTGTTATAAAAGATATCCAATAAACTCAAATTTAGTCAAACATGTAGGCCAAAATGTATGCTACATGTCCTTGGTAAAAAAAAAAAATCCCTATACGTGTATATTTATTGGTTTGTTTGAAAGTTATACAAACTACGGTATATATTTGCAATTTACGCAGCTTTTTACTTTGACTGCCTATCATATTTCTTGTGCTAAAATGGCAGGGCACTCCTTTTTGGAAAGTAGGCACCCCAAGGAATTTTCTGAGAGGCAAGTTGAGTCCATGGAAGATCTTATTTTTTGCCATAAATCTTTGGAAAATTACTTTTTTTTTTTTTTTTTTTTTAACAAAGTTGTCACTTAAATGATATGTTTTAAGAGCCAAAGACTTCCTGACGATCTGATTTGGAATGATAAATAACTCTTGGATCAGGACGTACCTGACGGGGGTCTGAGCTGGCATGAATACACAGAAGTCCAGTATCCTCATAGCTGTGGTGGTAAGCTGTGGCATTGTACATCCAGTGGTGCCTGTAATATCATATGACAGATGAGTAAGAGTGACCCTACAAACCAGACGATGGTTACATGACCCCACTGATTTCAGTAGGCTCAGGTGATCAATGAATATGTGTGGCAACCTGTGCATACATTCCCTGACTAATCTCAAATTCACATTTTCAAGAGGAAATCTGCAAAAAGAAAGTAGTTAAATCCACAGTTGAAATAGAAATATCAACTGTGTTATCTACCAAAAGATTTCTTATGTTCAGTGTTGTTGGGGGTGTGGAAAGTAAAAAAAAAAAACTACTTGTGCAAGGGACTAAATGTGGGTCCCAATCTACCTGTCGCTCATGACAATCTGCTTGTCCTGATAAAAAAAAAAAAATAATTTTAACCAAAACTATTCAAATAAAGGTTTTAACATTGCACTGTTTAGCTCCTCCTCACCTCCCTGCCTGTCTCTAGCACCACACACAGGGACTAGCGGGGAGGGGAGAGACTCTGCAGTGCGACGAACACCGATTGGGTGATGATCAGGAAAGGAGAGTGTCTTGGCTCTCTTAAGATTCAGCAAAAGTGAACCTGCTGAGCGAGTAAATGAGGCACCAGCCCCTATAAGACGGGGGGAAAACTTTATTCCTTCAGGTTACCCTCGCACACAGAAGCTTTGGGTGTTCAGTACAAGTGCCTGCTGTGCGGCTAAATCAAGCTCCATTATCCGTTCCGCGAGACTCCAATCACACTTGGGCGTTTTGGAATTGCTGCATTATTTTCAGTGGCACCTAAAATGCGATGTGGCTTTGATGCAATTGTCGCGTGGCAAATAGCATCACATGAGACTAGTTGCCCAAAAGAAGCTCCTGCTCCTTTTTGAGTGAAAAGCTTCACGCGATGTGATTTGCTGTGTGACAATCACGGCAAAACCGTACCGGATTTTATAGGTGTCATTGAAGATAATGGCACCTGGATCTGGGTTTTGCAAGTGTGGTACGTTTTGAAAACACAGGCAGAATCACAACGATTCTGCCGTGATCCCAAATGCCCAGGTGTGTGAACGGAGGCGAATCAGATGTGATCTGAAAATACATTGTTTTCTATGAAGGATGATCTATGTGGTGCAATTTTGTTCCGGTTAAAAAAGGTTCCTGTGTGATGGGTTCCAAATTCACACAGCTTAGAGTATAGTGGCATTTTGAGATAATTGTTTACATAGGATGCGATTCATAGCCAGTTTTGCATAGAAGTGCTTTGGAAGACAGACTGGAATTATGCCTGAACAATGAATAGCTACCTTTGACAACTGCATGTCCTGGGTGTCAGGAGATATGATTTGCACATCCCTGTGGTGTGATTCTAGAGATTTGCACAAATCCCAATTTCCAGCCAAAATGGAGTCGGCCTCATAATAGGAAGTGAGAGTAGAGATACAGTTCAAAACAAAATACTTTATACCTAATTAGTTATATATTGCAAGTTATCACAGATTCCACTTAAAGCAGACCTGTAACATGCAAGGGATTTATACAGAAACAGTTACATTACACAAACAGAAAAACTCACTTTAAAAAATGTAATAGTGAGTGTTCTTCAAATAACAACTGGTGATTCTGGCATGAAGTACTTACTTCACGCACTTACTGTTTCAGGGTGACAATGCTCCTATTATTTAGGATGATAATGCACGGTCACCCCATCACACGAGCATCTGATCAATAATGCACGTGGCTAGTTCAATACACATTGCACAAACACGGCTTATGGTCACAAACAGGAAACCAGCTTGAGACATGCCATCTAGTCTTAGCTGGAGTGCATGTAGAGAGGAAGTGACTGCAAAGATGCTGCAAAAGATCAGCAGCACTGAGAAGCAAAAAAGGAAACAAGTGAAAACTAGTATTTAAGTGTTGTTGCATGGCAAGACCACTTACTGTTATCTCACATATATATTCTTATTATTATAGCCAAATTTACCGCCCTAACTCCTCCCACAGTTTTTACACTACATAGACAGCAATATACCGAAACATGCGGATTGTTCCCGATTGGTGTGCTATTACTTTGTGGAACGTTTCGCAGAATGGTTCACGAAATATCGGCGTTTTTGTGGTGAAATTGGTCCCGTAGGAATGAATGGTGGAATGTTCAAAACTAGAGTGGGAGCTGACAAAAGCTAGAGTGGGAGCTGAAAAATCAGGACATGATTTCTAAACTGCCATCACTCCCTCATTTTCAAGCCCATCTACACAAATCTTATATCAAAACGTTCAGCTATCCCTGCTGCCACTAAAAATGTCCACGGCTAAGCCATAGTCCTGCTAGTTTTCACAATATGACCATTTGTTTGCAACTCACGCTGCCCATTGACATTCATTGAAACTCCACTCTAGCCACCTCAAATTTGAAGGGCAATTTCTAAACTGCGACTGTGCCTTCATTTCTAACATTTCAGAGACATACTATGCATCAAAATGTAGGACTGGATCTTGTGATTCTCACAATATAAAGCTCTTTGGTGTAGGATTTATAATTTTTAAACTACAACTGTTTGAAGATGGCAACTGCCAGTGAAGTGAGCAAGTTGGAGCAGTTTGTTTTTAACCGCTCTTCTCTGCCCTTGTAGAGTGAGTTGCCATAGGAACCCAGGTGTGTGAGCAGGCAGCAAAGTGGAGGCAAGAACACTTCACACAATTTCCCCAGAAATTGTAACTTTTCTAGTTTAATATACACTCATTGGCCTCTTTATTAGGTACACCTGTTCAATTGCTTGGTAACACAAATTACTAATCAGCCAATCACATGGCAGCAAATCAATGCATTTAGGTAACTAGACGTGGTGAAGATGACTTGCTGAAGTTCAAACCGAGCATCAGAATGGGGAAGAAATGGGATTTAAGTGACTTTGAACGTGGTATGGTTATTGGTGCCGATGGGCTGGTCTGAGTATTTCAAAAAGGAATTTTTATGCATAACCATCTCTAGGGTTTACAGAGAATTTTCCGAAAAAGAGAATAATTCCAGTGAGTGGTAGTTGTCTGGACAAAAATGCCCTGTTGATGTCAGAGGAGAATGGACAGACTGGTTCGAGATGATAGAAAGGCGACATCTCTGAATGCACAACACGTCAAACCTTGAAACAAATGGCTACTTTCCAGGGTTACCTGTACTATCTGACCACCCCACAGACTCACCTGTACTATCTGACCACCCCACAGACTCACCTGTACAATCTGACCACCCCACAGACTCACCTGTACTATCTGACCACCTTACAGACTCACCTGTACTATCTGACCACCCCACAGACTCACCTGTACTATCTGACCACCCCACAGACTCACCTGTACATCTGACCACCCCACAGACTCACCTGTACAATCTGACCACCCCACAGACTCACCTGTACAATCTGACCACCCCACAGACTCACCTGTACAATCTGACCACCCCACAGACTCACCTGTACTATCTGCCCAAACCCACAGACTCACCTGTACTATCTGCCCACCCCGCAGACTCACCTGTACTATCTGACCACCCCGCAGACTCACCTGTACTATCTGACCACCCCGCAGACTCACCTGTACTATCTGCCCACCCCACAGACTCACCTGTACTATCTGCCCAAACCCACAGACTCACCTGTACTATCTGCCCACCCCACAGACTCACCTGTACTATCAGACCACCTTACAGACTCACCTGTACTACTCTGACCACCCACACAGACTCACCTGTACTATCTGACCACCCTGACCACCCCACAGACTCACCTGTACTATCTGACCACCCCACAGACTCACCTGTACTATCTGACCACCCCACAGACTCACCTGTACTATCTGACCACCCCACAGACTCACCTGTACTATCTGACCACCCCACAGACTCACCTGTACAATCTGACCACCCCACAGACTCACCTGTACAATCTGACCACCCCACAGACACAGACTCACCTGTACAATCTGACCACCCCACAGACTCACCTGTACTATCTGACCACCCCACAGACTCACCTGTACTATCTGCCCAAACCCCACAGACTCACCTGTACTATCTGCCCAAACCACAGACTCACATGTACTATCTGCCCACCCCACAGACTCACCTGTACTATCAGACCACCTTACAGACTCACCTGTACTATCTGACCACCTTACAGACTCACCTGTACTATCTGACCACCCCACAGACTCACCTGTACTATCTGACCACCCCACAGACTCACCTGTACTATCTGACCACCCCACAGACTCACCTGTACTATCTGACCACCCCACAGACTCACCTGTACTATCTGACCACCCCACAGACTCACCTGTACTATCTGACCACCCCACAGACTCACCTGTACTATCTGACCACCCCACAGACTCACCTGTACTATCTGACCACCCCACAGACTCACCTGTACTATCTGACCACCCCACAGACTCACCTGTTGAGGACATTGAGGTAGAGTCTGGTGAACATTCCTTTCCCAGGTCCACCAGCTGAGAATGAGCCACCACCTCCCATCATCATGTTCAACACTGCAAATGGGATAAAGTCGTCTTCCTGTCACATAAACAGAGTTAATCAGAATGTCTCATATATGAAAGTGTCCTACAACGCAACATTCATCTGACTGCAGGCTGTAGGTGACACAAACAGCTACTAACACTGAGAAGTAAGACTGGCAAACCTGACAAATTCAAAACCGAGCAAACATGGTAAAGCATTATTTGTGTTACAAACGTTCCCAGCACAGATGGCATACATACAATACCCTGATAAGTAAGGAGTGACATAAAACAGCAGATGTGATAAAATACCAGGAAGGAGCAGCTCTCCAGACCAATCATAATGTGCGTCAGTTCAGGGATTGGGGTGGGACCCAGACTCACGTCCGACATGTCTTTCTCCACCTGACAGACAGGAAACATTGAAGGATTTATTTCACCTACAGTAGCTGTTGTACTTGTTCATGCCAACATTTCACACTGACGGCACAGGGAGGGTGTATATACTACAATAAATCAAAACAACAAAGAATTGTGCCATGTGTTGGACAGTAAATGAGAGGTACAGCAGGTAGTAAGATGTTCATTTTACTAACTCCATAGCAGATAGACAATGGAGCTGAGGGCGAGTGCTGCTGAATAAGCCTACAAGGCTGATTTTGGTTTTGTTCTTGATATAAAAACGAGTTTAGGATGTCTGCATCTAACAAAGCAATTCCATCTTGGCATCCTCCGTTACTGTTACATGAATTTTTCCATTATTTCATTATTCTTCTAGCTAATTACAGATCATCCAAGAACCCTAAAATAAAAATATTATGACTTAGAACAGTTAACGATTTCAAATATTTTTACCCCCCTTACCTTGATGATTCCTCCAGTATACTGGGCGATGGAACGGTCCACACTGCGGGGTTTGCCAGATGCCCAAACAGGCTCCACTCTCTGCATGTACTTTTTGGCACACTCCAGCAACTGGTCATGTTCTATGCCCACCCCTGCCAGCACCATCCTCTCTGGGGTGTAGTAATTGTGCATGTAGGCATGTAGTGTCTTCCGATCTATCTTGTCAATGTTCTCCACAGGACAGAAGCGAGGGAGACCCACTGTGTTGTCTCTGAAGGCTGCCTGTCCAGAAATAAGCAAAGAAAGTCCATCGTAATACCAAGAACAGGTGGCAAAAAAAGAATGTTATAGAAAATATTACTGTGCAAGAAAATATGTTGTTATGCTTTTACTAGCAGCAGGTATTGAGGTTGGTGTAACTCTTCCTTAAAGGGAACCTGTCACACAGTAAAACACTTGTGTGATGGGACTCTAATGGAAGCAGTCATTCCTCAACTCCGGTGCCGTCATCTAGTTCCAGACCAGTGAAGCTGAAACAGTCATTTCCCCGGAACTCCCACATGGCATCAATAAGAGAAGGACTTCTGCCAGCAGTATCGAATCTCACTAGATTTGCTTTTATATATTGTTTCTTTAATTCCAGCACACCTACCGCATGAATAATCTCAGTCAGCAAAGGCTCCGGGTCTGGCCTCATATTGAGGTCCTCTAACTCAAACCGCACCGCCATTCTCGTCATCTCCAATTCCTCATCTGTAACAGACCAAAACAATATCAGGAAGAGTGGATACTTCCTTATGGAATAGGTAAATAGGCTACTCTCTTTGTTTGTGTTGGTGTATGGGAAACTAACATAGGACAGTGTCCGAATCATCAGACACCAAGGAGAGGACCTAACTTACCAGACAGCCGTGGCTGCAGAACAACCTCTGCCAACAGACTGACCACTGTATCCAGACCCTTGGCATCTGCAGAAACAGCATACATGGTAGTGTCCCTGGAAGATAAGGACAAATACAGAATCAATAACTGTACATATGCAATAGTTTCCAACAGAATCATGCAGCCAATTTTGATGCGAAGTCATCATTTCAGAAAGACAAGTCACAAATTTGCCATGCTGTCATGAACACATTAAAGATACCAGTTTCTTTTCCCTGCTCCTGCAGCCTCCTGGGCTTTCCTCTTCACATATCCCAGGAAGATGCAGAAGTAGGGACCACATAGAGGACAGTAGCCAGACCTTGGAAGCACATCATTGAGGACCAGCTGCAGAACCCAGAAGGGACAGCTGGCACCCAACAGCATTACAGAAGAATATGGTAACAGGGAACTCGGGCTGTGGCAGCAGATAGCAGCAGGACAATGAATATGTGAACTGAGGACAACCCTGCATAACAAGTAAAAATGGTAAAAAAAAAAAAGGCAAGGTGGGGGAGATTTGAAGTTCCTCTTTGAGTATTAATTATAAAAATTATTAAACATTTCTTTAGATATTGCTGGTCCAATTACCTGACGTGTTTGTCAACACTCCCTTGCTGTGCAGAATGTGGAGTTCTACCACAGCCAATCGGGCTCTGCAGTATTTAACTACTATTCATCCTAATACTATTCATTGTCCAGTAATCAGGCTGGAGATGGGATGGTAATACAGGAAGCTGAACTAGTAAATAATGGTGTTACATTCTGTAAACAGCTTAAAATATACCCTCTGCACACTGCTATACCCCCCTTACATAATTCTAGAAAACTTTTGCATAAAAACAGGGATTCCTGTTTCACATATATACAGTGGGGAAAATAATTATTTGATCCCCTGCATATTTAGTAAGTTTGCCCACTTAGGAAGAGTCTATAATTTTTATCATAGGTGAATTTTAAATGATAGACACAGAATATGAACCAAAAATCCAGAAAAAACACACAATACAAATGTTAGACATGGAGTTGCAGTTCAGTGAGTAAAATAAGTATTTGATCCCCAAGCAAAACAGGACTTGGTAGTTGGTGAAGAAACCCTTGTTGGCAAGCACAGAGGTAAGATGTTTCTTGTAGTTGGTTACCAGGTTTGCACACATCTCAGGAGGGATTTTGGTTCACTTTTCTTTACAGATCTTCTGTAAATTCTTAAGGTTTCTTGGCTGTCGCTTGGCAACTCGAAGTTTCAGCTCCCTCCATAAATTTTCTACAAGATTAAGGTCTGGAGACTGGCTAGGCAACTACATGACCTTAATGTGCTTTTTCTTGAGCCACTCCTTTGTTGCCTTGGTGGTATGTTTTGGGTCAATGTTATGCTGCAAGACCCATCCACAACCCATCTTCAGTGTTCTGGCTGAGGGAAGAAGGTTCACATCCAAGATTTTACAATACATGGCCCTATTCATTGGCCCCTCAACGCAGCAAAGTTGACCTGTACCTTTGGCAGAGAAACAGCCCCAAAAGCAGAATGTTTCCACCTCCGTGCTTGACTGCAGGGATGGTGTTCTTAGGGTCATAGTCAGCATTTTTCTTCCTCTAAACACGGCGACTCAAGTTAATGCTCAATTTTGGTCTCATCTGACCACAGCATTTTCTCCCAATCCTTCTCTGAATCATTTAGATGTTCATTTTCAAACTTCAGATGGGCCTGCACATGTGCCTTCTTGAGGAGAGGGACCTTGCGGGTGCTGCAGGATTTCAATCCATGATGGCGTATTATGTTACAATGGTTTGTTTGGTGACTGTGGTCCCAACTGAGATCATTCACAAGCGCCTCCCGTGTAGTTCTAGGCTGATCCTTCATTTTTCTCATGATCATCCTTACCCCAATCTTGCATGGAGCTCCAGACCGAGGGCGATTGATGGTTATTTTGTATTTCCTCCATTTGCAAATAAGCGCTCAGTTGTCTCCTTCTCACCAAGCTTCTTGCTGATAGTCTTGTAGCCCATTCCAGCCCTGTGTAGGTCTACAATCTTGTCCCTGATGTCCTCTGACAGCTCTTTGGTCTTGCCCATGGTGGTGCCTAAGAAAGAGAGTCTGCGGACAGGTGTCTTTTATACACATAACGAGTTGTCATTAGGAGCACCTTCTTAAATTGACAGGACTAGTTTGTGAACCACATGAGCACATAGCCAGTCTGTGGGAGCCAGAATTATTGTTGGTAGGGGATCAAATACTTATTTTGGTCACTGAACTGCAACTCAATTTATTACATTTCTATTGTGCTTTTTTCTGAATGTTTCATTGCTATTCTGTCTCTATCATTTAAAATACACCCATGATAAAAACTATAGACCCTTCATTTCTTTGTATGTGGGCATTACAAAATCTGCAGATCAAATAATTATTTTCCCCACTGTATATAACATTTTAGTTTTTAGGCTTAGATACACTTTAACTCTTGAGTAAGGGAACAAAAATATATCATGATTAACTTATGAAACAAGTGGGTGCAAATTTTTAACATGCTCTTGTAGATATGGTTTACCCACTTTCCCACTTTGTATATATTTTATTACATTTTTGTAATGTTTAGAAGAGTGTCCCATTAAAAAGGGGATAGCTAGCCCTTACCTGGATGTCTGACAGTCACATATGCCACCATGTTTTTCCAGAGTAAGAAGGATCTCATCTTTACTGCCAAACTGGGCTGTAGACTGCAAGAGAGAGAAAAAATAAGCTGCTACTTGGGAGACATTTGGCCTTATTTAACCACTTGCCCTCCAGAGGATTTACCCCCCCTTCCTGACCAGGCCATTTTTTGCGATATGTCGCTGTGTTACTTTAACTGACAATTGCACGGTCATGCAATGCTGCACCCAAATGAAATTTAAGTCCTTTTTTTCCACAAAATGGAGCTTTCGGTATTTGATCGCCTCTATGTTTTTTATTTTTTGTGCTATAAACAAAAAAAGACTGACAATTTTGAAAAAAAAAAACTTGACATTTTGCTATAAAACACATGCAGTAAAAAAATTTAAAAAATCAAACTTTGTCATAAATTTAGGCTAAAATGTATTCTGCTACATGTCTTTGCTAACAAAAATCCCAATACGTGTAAATTAATTGGTTTACGTGAAAGTTATAGCGTCTACAAATGCCGGTATATATACTGGGATTTTTTTTCTTTTTTTATACTAGTAATGGCGGCGATCAACAACTTACAGCGGGACTGCGGCGGGCATTCTGACACTGGGGCAGAACTGACAAACTGCCACTAATACTGTACAGTGATCAGTGCTAATAAAAAGCACTGACACTGTACTAATGACACTGAGCAGGAAGGGGTTAACATCTGGGGCGATCAAAGGATTAACCATGTGCTGTTTTACAAACTGTGCTGTGTGTGTTTTACTGTGTAAACATGCTGGTGCTGAAGGGAGAGATCTGTATTGTTTACATACAGACCTCTCCCCTGTCAGTGTTCCTTGGTAATCGCCGGGTGCCAGCGGGGAATCTCCGGCCGGGACCTGGTGATTGACAGCTGTAGCCGCCAATGGCAGTGCAGGTAGGGCGGCGCACGGGCCCCCTACCCCTAAATACAAAATCATGTATATATGCCTGATTTTGCGCAGCTCTGCCGCCTTGTAGCAGTAGTTCTGCTATAGGGCAGTCGGGAAGCGGTTAAAGGGCCAATCAACACAGAAATATTTCATTTGAAGCGGAACTAAAACTTTATCTGAACACCACAAACTAAACACGCTATTTTATTCATTTTTAATATTGAAAGCAAATTCACCAATCTATCTATGTCCCCATGCTTTATTTTGCTGAGAAATCATTTTGAAAAACAGCTCCCCAAGCATTTCTAGCTATGGCCATCTTGAGTAAGGGCAGATTATTCATGTAGCATTTACTTCTTGAAATCTATCTGAGCCTTAGCTCAGGCATGTAGGCAGGAGGGTGTGCTTAGCTGAGAAAACCCTCCTCCAGATGAAAGAAATAAAATGCTCATGAAGACACCTAGGATGTATGGCATCATTTGGGCCTAGACCAGAAACCAGGAAGCAATTGAAGAAATGTAAAAAATAAAAAAAAAGTTAACAAAAAATATATATCTTCCTATGCATTTACTAATGCTAGCAGCATAAGGGTTAAATAGTTAGTGTTAATTGAGAGAGTTTATTCCACTTTAAGGGGTGAATCATTTGCTGGGAATTTATGTAGCTCAGGAATACCAGAGTAACCCCACCCGGAGGTGTGTAAGGCAAGACAAATATTTAGCGAATTAGAAACAGGACAATTTCTTATATGAACAAGTCATCAAAAGTAATATCTCCAGTGGCAAAGCCTGGGACATGGGGTGTCAGTGTACAATAAGTAGACTGCAGAAACTAGTCAAACTGCTAACAAGGCCTTAATGCAGCACAATTCATTTCTAATTATTGTTGGAGCACATGTAGAAGATTCCACACAGGGTGTCAATGGTAAACATTGAATGTCATACTTACAGAGAAGGCGAGTTTCTCCAGAAAGTGAGAGATGCCACTTAGATACTTTGCCTCATACCTGGAGCCTGAACTTATCAGAACTACAAGAAAAAACAAAAACAGAATTGTCTATTGGACAGCCTACAAGTTCAACACAGTCCACAGCAAAGACAAGATAATTTGCCTTGTGTTCTATGTATTCAGGACCTGCACTACTTTCTTTTTACAGCAGCGCGTTGCAACGCAATACACCACATCGTAAGGCAGTGCAGAAAAGAAATGTCATTTTGTCATTAAAGATTTAAAAAAAAAAAAAAAAAAGATAAACAGTGCAATGCATTTTAATCAGTGCATCAGCACTACTTTCTACCTGGTGTGAACGGGCCCTTTATAATCAAGTTAAAATCATTTTTTTTTTATGCTAGAATCAGTAAATTCCACAGGACTTTATCTGCTTTTACCTGTGATGGGGGAATACCACCCCATTCTCAAACACTCAGACAAATTCTATGCCAAGTTTAGCCCCTTCCAATTGACTATACCAATGTGCAACCTGGCTCTTGCAGGAGCAGAACAAGGCGTTCTTACTGCATCATAGGAACTTATATTTTTTCTTTCTGAGATTTAAACTTGTTCAGCTATAAATTCTTTGGTGCGATACTGGATTTCCAATATTTGTTTTTTATATAGTTTATAATGGTACATACAGTACATTATGGCACCATTATTTGTAGTTTGCTATATTTGTCTGTCAGATTTGCCCATCACAGCCAAGGAGAAACTTTCTGGCAAGCCAACCTGTCCCTTCTTTTCTGGTCTAGTTCTTGTTATAATTAGGTTAACTTACAAAGGTATTTCACATACAATAATGGGCCAGAAAAATAGAAACTAGTGGTGCACCGAAACCAAAAACTCAGGATGCACTTGGCTGAAAACCAAAATGGACAGTTTATAAAAAATATGTTTTTTATATATATATCCAATAACATAAAATTATTTTTACTGAAAAATAAAATATATAAGTATGTGTATGCTGCACAATAATTACATAGCTACATAGTTAGTCTGGCTGAAAAAAGACAAATGTCCATCCAGTTCAATCATAAAAAAGAGAAACAGTTATAATCCTATACCTACAGTTGATCCAGAGGAAGGCAAAAAAAACGCAGCAAAGCATGATCCAATTTGCTCCTGCAGGGGGAAAAAATCCTTCCTGATCCCCCGAGAGGCAATCAGATATTCCCTGGATCAACTTTACTTATAAATGTTAGTATCCAGTTATATTCTGTGTATCTAAGAAGGAATTAAGACCTTTTTTAAAGCAATCCACTGAGCTGGCCAGAACCAACTCTTGAGGGAGTCTATTCCACGTGTTTACAGCTCTTACTGTGAAGAAACCTTTCCGTGTTTGGAGATTAAATTTCTTTTCCTCCAGATGTAAAAAGTGCCCCCTTGTCCTCTGTGATGACCTCAGGGTGAATACGTCTACACCGAGTTCAATATATGAACCACTGATGTATTTATACATTTTGATCATATCCCCCCTTAATCTCCTCTTCTCAAGAGAGAATAAATTCAGTTCCTCTAATCTTTCCTCATAGCTGGTCTCCTCCATGCCTCCTATCAGTTTGGTTGCCCTTCTCTGTACTTTCTCCAGTTCCCCGATATCCTTTTTGTGAATTGGTGCCCAAAACTGAACTGCATATTCCAGATGAGGTGTTACTAATGATTTGTACAGGGGTAATATGATATCTATCTCTCTGGAGTCTATACCTCTTTTAATACAAGAGGATTTTGCTCGCTTTAGAACCCGCAGCTTGGTATTGCATGCCATTATTAAGCTTGTGATCTACCAGAACTCCCAGATCCTTCTCCACCATTGATTCCCCCAGTTGTACCCCCCTAGTATGTATAATGCATGCATATTCTTAGCCCCCAAGGTCATAACCTTACATTTATCAACATTAAACCTCATTTGCCACATAGTTGCCCAATTAAACAGAGCATTGAGGTCGGCTTGTAAATTGAAGACATCCTGTAAGGACGTTATTCCACTGCACAGCTTGGTGTCATCTGCAAAGACTGAAATGGGATTTTTAATCTCAGACCCTATATCGTTTGTAAATATATTAAAAAGAAAGGGTCCCAACACTGAACCTTGGGGTACACCACTGATGACCCCAGACCAGGGGTGGGCAAACTTTTTGACTTGAGGGCCACAATGGGTTCATATATTGGACCCGAGGGCCAGACCAAGAGTAGATGAATGATGTGTATGTGTCATCCATAGTAAGTATAGTAATATTCCCCCATAGTAAGCATAGTAATTAATCCCCCATAATTCAGTAATTCATCCCCCATATAGTAATTCATCCCCCATAGTAATTCATCCCCCATATAGTAATTCATCCCCCATATAGTAATTCATCCCCCATATAGTAATTCATCCCCCCTATAGTAATTCATCCCCCCTATAGTAATTCATCCCCCCTATAGTAATTCATCCCCCATATTAAGTCCCCAAGTCCCCCCTGTGTCAATTCACTTACCTTTGCTCCGCGCGTTCCTCTCGCCGTGTTCCCGCGCAGTTCCGGTGTAGCATGAAAATCTGTCTCCTATGAGGATCTGTCCCCCTCGACGTATCTGCGCATGTGCCAGTTTCAGGCATTAGCAGCCGATCGGCGATCTCCGGCACATGCGCAGATACGTCGAGGGGGACAGATCCTCATAGGAGACAGATTTTCATGCTACACCGGTCTTCAGGGCGGACTGTGAGAGGAGCCTAGCTCCGCGGGCCGGATTAAAAGGTCCGCCGGGCCTTATACGGCCCGCGGGCCGTAGTTTGCCCATTGCTGCCCCAGACCATTCAGAGTATGAATCATTAACCACAACTCTCTGAATACGATCATTTAGCCAGTTTTCTATCCATTTACATACAGATTTTTCCAAGCCTGTAGACTTTACCTTACACATTAGCCGTGTGTGGGGAACTGTGTCAAACGCTTTTGCAAAATCCAAGTATACCACGTCTACCGCCACCCCCCCTCTGTCCAAGGTTTTGCTCACCTCCTCATAAGAAATCAGATTTGTTTGACAACTTCTGTCTTTCATGAATCCATGCTGGCTGTTGCTTAAAATATTTTTTTTTCCAGCAAGATCTCATCTATGTGGTATTTTATTAAACTCTCCAGTATCTTCCTAACTATAGAAGTTACACTAACAGGTCTATAATTACTTGGTAAAGATTTTGACCCCTTTTTAAATATTGGCACCACATTGGCCTTACACCAATCCAGTGGTACTATGCCAGTCATTAAAGAGTCCCTAAAAATGAGAAAATGGCTTTGGAATGACAGAGCTCAATTCTTTAAGGACCCGTGGGTGTATGCCATCGGGTCCAGGTGCTTTATTCACCTTTATACTGTTTAAATATTTTTTGGATCATATCAATTGTGAGCCAATATGGATCATCTGTGTCAATACCATGCCCATTATGGACAAGAGCTCTCCCTTGCTCCTTTGTATACACAGAGATGAAGAAGGTATTAAATACATTTGCCTTCTCTTTGTCCCCAGTCACCCACTCTAGATTATTTTGTAAAGGGCCTACATGCTCAGACCAGACCTTTTTACTTCTTTAAAGGATAAGTTGACCTTTTGATGAAAAATAAATGCACTTTGTATGCAGGTAACAAAATGTGCATTTATTATTTTATGTCGCAGGAGCCTGGAAAGCATTGCACCAGTTATCAGATCGCTGGTGCCATGCAGGAGTCCTGCAGACTTGTCAGTAAATCTGCTTGTCTGTACATCCCATACAAGCAAGCCGATACACTCTTGACAGGAAGAAACAATGAACCACCACTGTGCTCCACAGTGCCGCGGTAGTTCATTGAGAACTACAAGCCGATAGCCGTTAAGGCTAGAATACTGTTGTTTTTACACTTTTGACAGCTAACAGGAGGAGAAGCTTTCAATGCGGAGGAGCGGGAGCTGGTCCTTTCATAACATGAATATGGGTGTAGCATACCAAGTTATGAAAGGTGAACTTATTCTTTAAAAAAAAAAAAACTTTCGGCCGACATATCGGTGCATCACTAATAGAAACCCCTGTTGGCTATTGCATCTTAACACTTCAGGATTTCATTTCAGTCACAGATTATGGTAGTCACCTCAAAAGGTTACCATAACATCTTGTTGATCCAGGTGACCATAGATAGCTTTCCTTAAACTTTGGGTGACTGCGGTCTTCTAAGGATCCCAGATAGAGGAATAATTATGCCAGACATCTCCCAGACACTGACAGCCCAGCAATGCTATGCTCTTTAACTCAATATATTTATACTGCATATGGCAGTTACCATGTATAGCGGAGGTACCCTACATGACTGCCTGCTGGTATTGTGTTTATCATTCTTCTGTGGGATGATAATATTACTGTTCATTCCCTACAAGGCAGTGGCTCCATATTAATTCATAAATATTTCACATAGAAGACATTTTGATGGGATGCCTGGTCCATTCATTTAATGCCTTCCAGAATGCCATCTTTAAATAGCATAACAACTCTACAGTTACCAGTGTCAGGTGGGGAGTCTGAGCACTGGCACAATTGTACAGCTTTGGTGACATCAGTCCCTCCCAAGTGGCACCAACAACTCTACTGTTATGAGTAGTCTCAGCCTTTACCACCTGGCACTGACAACAACTCTACAGTTTTGTAGAGGCTCAGACCCCTCATCTTGCACAGACAACTCTACTGTTGTGGGAGGTGCAGATGTTGCCACCTGACACTGACAAATCTGACATTTTGGGGAGGCTCAGACCATCCATTCTGCCTGGCACCAACTCTACCATTTTGAGAAGGCTCAGATCTTCCTATCCGGCACTAACATCTCTACCATTTTTGGGAAACACAGACGTCTTCCCATCTGGCAACGACAACCCTACTGTTTTGCAGAGGCTCAGAACTCCTCATCTGACAAGGACAATTCTGCTGTTTTGAAGAGGTCCAGAACTTCCCACCAGATATCAACTCTAATATTTTGGGAAGGCTCAGACCCCCTCTCCAAAACACTGAAAACACTACCATTTCCAAGAAGTTCAGATGTTCTCACCGAGCACTGACAACTCTAATGTTTTGGGAAGGCTCAAACCTTTCCAACCAACACCAACAACTCTACCATTTTAAGAAGGCTCCGATTTTCCCAACTGGCACCAACAATTGTACTTTTTTTTGAGAGGCTCGGAACTCTTCACCTGACACAGACATCTCCACAGTTCTGGGGAGGCTCAGATCTCCCCAACCAGCACCAACAACTCTTCAGTTTTGGGGAGGTTCAGACATTCTCTTTACTGTTTGAGGAGGCTCAGACCCCCTCACCTGGCACCCACATCTCTAATGTATTGGAGAGGAGAGGGGTGCTCAAACCTCTTTTCCTGGATCCAACAACTCTTAGCCTATTTCACTGTCTCTTAGATACTGGTTCTAGCCCATTATTATTATTATACAGGCTTTATATAGCGACAACAGTTTGCGCAGCGCTTTACAACCATTCACTGATAATAGTTCTAGTCTATTCTTACAGGCAATGTGTTCTCATTTTTCTGACCAGCACTTGAATACATTGATGGCTTCTCTAAGAAAAGAAAAGGAAGTAGTGTTGCAACACTTGGCTAGTAATAGGATTTCTTCTTCCCTCCATATTACCTATGTTAATTATAAAATTAATAAATATCTAGCAGCACACTTGTTCAACTTACGCCCAACAGTACAAAATTGCCCAAATTTGTTCTGCGAAGCCACACGTAGCCCATTGTCCAGAGTGGTGACTTTTGTTTCAAACTTTTCCTGCCCATCCACTCTTGCGAAGACTGGCTTGGGTATGCCAGGTAGGGGGGAGGTGAGGGGAATGCTGGGATAGGATCCACCACTACTGTACCGTCTGTAGACTGGTAGCCCGTATCTGGAAGAGACCACACAATATGACAATGTATGGAGTACAGGGAAAGGGGAGACACATGGGGGTTTATTTACTAAAGCTGGAGAGTGCAAAATCAGACTTACTTATGCATAGAAACCAATCAGTTTCTAACGTCAGCTTGTTCAGTTAAGCTTTGGCAATAAAACCTGGATAGATTGGTTTCTATGCAGAAGTGAGTCTGATTTTGCACTCTCCGGCTTTAGTAAATAAACCCCATGGTGTTAATGTATAGAGGACAAGGATGGGTCACAGACAGTACCAACATATACAGAACAGGAAGTAAGATCATACACAGTGAGAATTGAAATTATATACAGGACAGGGAGCAAAGTAACACACATTGACAATGTACACAGGACACAGAGAGGGGTCACACAGCAACAGAACATACAAGACATGGAATGGGGTCACACACAGTGCCAGCATATACAGGACATGAAATTGGATCACACACAGGGACAGCATATACAGGGCAGGTAATGAGGATACACACAGTGACGATATATACAGGACAGGGAATGGGGTCACATGGTGACGATATATACAGAACAAACAGTGGGGTCAGACACGGTGATGATATATACAGGACAGGGAATGGGGACACATGGTGACGACATATACAGAACAAAGAGTGGGGTCAGACACGGTGATGATATATACAGGACAGGGCATGGGGTCACACACGGTGACGATATATACAGGACAGGGAGTGGGGTCACACACGGTGACGATATATACAGGACAGGGAGTGGGGGCACACACGGTGACGATATATACACACGGACAGGACAGGGAGTGGGGTCACACACGGTGACGATATATACAGGACAGGGAGTGGGGTCACACACGGTGACAATATATACAGGACAGGGAGTGGGGGGTCACACACGGTGACGATATATACAGGACAGGGAGTGGGGTCACACACGGTGACGATATATACAGGACAGGGAGTGGGGTCACACAGGTGACGATATATACAGGACAGGGAGTGACGATATATACAGGACAGGGAGTGGGGTCACACACGGTGACAATATATACAGGACAGGGAGTGGGGTCACACACGGTGACGATATACACAGGACAGGGAGTGGGGTCACACACGGTGACGATATACACAGGGGGTCAGGGAGTGGGGGCACACACGGTGACGATATATACAGGACAGGGAGTGGGGTCACACACGGTGACGATATATACAGGACAGGGAGTGGGGTCACACACGGTGACGATATATACAGGACAGGGAGTGGGGTCACATGTAATAAGAGACAGTAGGATAATAGAATACAGGATATTGGGGCAGTTTTTAAGGTTCAGGAAAACTCAACATAACAGTCCACAGATTTCTGAAATATTGTTATGTTACTTTTAAAAGGGGAACCTCTGCCCCAACTTCATTTTTAGGTTGGATGGAATATGCTGAATTCAGAGGTGTTGGCACACAATGTGTACAATCAGACATTGTACAGCATCTGCTTTACACTTTAATACATTAATCCAGCAACTACAGTTCAGAAAATGCAGAAAGCAACTCAGTAATAACAAATCATAAATAAAAATCTACAGCACCTTATACCATCATACCCCCATATATACAGCTGTGCTCAAAAGTTTGCATACCCTGGCAGAAATTGTGCAATTTTGGCATTGATACTGAAAATATTACTCATCATGCTCACTGATCCTTTTGTTTAATGACAGTGATCATATGAAGCCATTTATTATCACATAGTTGTTTGGCTTTTTAAATCATAATAACAGAAATCACCCAAATGGCCATGATCAAAAATGTGCATCCCCTGGAATGTTTGGCCTTGGTACAGACACACAAGGTGACACACACGGGTTAAAATGGAAATTAAAGGTTAATTTCCCACATCTGTTTGTTTTTAAATTGCAATTAGTGTCTGTTTATAAACAGACAATGAGTTTGTTAGCTCTCATGTGGATGCACTGAGCATGCTTGATACTGAGACATGGGGAGCAGAAAGAACTGTCAAAAGACCAGCATAACAAGGTAATGGAATTTTATAAAGAAAGCTATATAAATTGATGCGCAAAGCCTTGAATATGCCAGTCAGTACTGTTCAATCACTTATTAAGAAGTGGTAAATTCGGGGATCTCCTGATACCATGCCAAGGTCAGGTAGACCAAGACAGATTGCAGCCACAACTGCCCAAAGAATTGTTGGGGAAACAAAAAGAAAAACCCACAGGTATCCTTGGAGGAAATGCAGGCTGCTCTGGAAAAAAGATGGTGTGGTTGTTTTGAAGGAACACAATATGACGATACTTGAACAAAAAGGAGCTGCATGGATGAGTTGCCAGAAAGATGCCACAAAAAAAAGCTTGGTGAGGTGTGTCAAGGTGTTGTCGGGCAAATAGTAACCAGGCTTTTATTTTGTGGCATTGAGGCTACTTTCTGGCAATGTAACCGTGCTGCTCATTTTAGTTAAAGAATCGTGTATTGTGCTCCCTCAACACATCCACACCGTCTTTTTCCAGTGCAGCTTGTATTTCCCTCAAGGTTACCTGTGGGGGTTTTTTTTTTGTTTTGTTTCCCCAACAGTGGTGGCTGCAATCTTTCTTGGTCTACCTGTACTTGGCTTGGTATCAAGAGATCCCTGAACTTTCCACTTCTTAATAAGTGATTGAACAGTACTCACTGGCATACTCAAGGCTTTGGATATCTTTTTATATCCTTTTCCATCTATATAAAGTTCCATTACCTTGTTATGCAGGTCTTTTGACAGTTCTTTTCTGCTCCCCATGGCTCAGTATCTAGTCTGCTAAGTGCATCCGCATGAGAGCTAACAAACTTATTGTCTGTTTATAAACAGACACTAATTGCAATTTAAAAAGCCACAGATGTGGGAAATTAACCTTTAATTGGCATTTTACCTTGTGTGTCTGTACCAAGGCCAAACATTCCAGGGGATGCAAATGTTTGATCATGTCCATCCGCATGAGAGCTAACAAACCTATTATTTATACACAGACACTGATTGCAATTTAATAAGCCACAGATGTGGGAAATTAATCTTTAATTGGCATTTTAACCCGTGTGTGTCGCCTTGTGTGTCTGTACCAAGGCCAAACATTCCAGGGGATGGAAACATTTGATGAGGACCATTTGGGTGATTTCTGTTATCATTATGATTTAAAAAAATAGCCAAAGAACTATGTGATAATAAATGGCTTCATATCATCACTATCCATAAATAAAAGGCAGCTTTTTGGCATGATCAGTCATACTTTCAATAGCAATGACAACATTTCACGATCTCTGCCGGGGTATGTAAACGTTTGAACACAACTGTATACAGGCTGTTATAAAGTATTGCAGTGCGGGAAACAAACACATATACATTTTTCAAAAGTGAATCGTTTGTTGAAATATGTCATATTTTGGGATGTAACAATGGATCTAATCAGCCAAGCTTGTTATGTGCATTTTCTGCATGTGAGCAGAACAGATTTCATATTATTTTTTTATGTCATTCATTATACTGACATTATATAACGATTACTTCACATCATATCTTGGGAATTACTATAGGAGAGGATGAGCACCCGGTGAGGAGAGGAGAATGTCATCACCGGGCTATAATGTAAAGGAAGAAGTGTGGGGAATGTCCATTATGGAAAGTGTTCCTACCTGTGATGGGAGATCATACTCCTCTAATGATGGAGGAAGATCAGCACATCGCCATTATATAGGAGGGATCACTAAAGGGGCTCAACACTTCTCTTTGTACATATATATGTGTTTCTGCCCTGTAATAGTTTGTACTGGATGTGTATATACAGACAGGGAGTAGGTGGTCTAGGTGAATATACCCAGGAGGAATGGTGGTATAAGTGCTGCACCCCTTGTATGATGTGCTGGGCATATACAATTAGAAGGGGCTGGTGCCAGGTGACGAGAAGGAGATCTGTCCCAAGACTGGATGAAGGAGGCGATAGAGGCAGGCAGTAGATGGAAGGAGATGGCACTGAGCAGGATGGCACAGTAATAATGGAAGGAATTGTGTAGATGAAGATATGGTGGGAGGTTGCACTGATCAGGGTGACACAGAGATAGATCATATAGAGGAGATATGGTGGGAGGTTACACTGATCACAGAGATAGGCAGGAGAATAGAGGATAGGGAGGTAGATCAGGGTGACACTGGAATCATGAGGAGGTATGGGAGATGGGAGAGTTACACTGATCAGGGTGACACTGCGAATCATGGCAGGAGGTATATAGAGGTGGGAGGTTGCATGATCAGGGTGACACAGGAGGGAGGTATGGAGGGACACTGATCAGGGTGACACTGGAATCATGGCAGGAGGTATATAGAGGAGATATGGAGAGGAGGTTGCACTGATCGAGGTGACAATGCGATCAGGCAGGAGGTGACAGGAGATATGGTGGGAGACAGAAAGTGACACAGAGATAGACAGAAAGTATGAAGAGGAGATATGGAGGGAGGTTACACTGATCAGGGTGACACTGGGATCATGGCAGGAGGTATATTGAGGAGATATGGAGGGAGGTTGCACTGATCGAGGTGACAATGCGATCATGGCAGGAGGTATAGAGGAGATATGGTGGGAGGTTGCACTGATCAGGGTGACACAGAGATAGACAGAAAGTATGAAGAGGAGATATGGAGGGAGGTTACACTGATCAGGGTGACACTGGGATCATGGCAGGAGGTATATTGAGGAGATATGGAGGGAGGTTGCACTGATCGAGGTGACAATGCGATCATGGCAGGAGGTATAGAGGAGATATGGTGGGAGGTTGCACTGATCAGGGTGACACAGAGATAGACAGAAAGTATATAGAGGAGATATGGAGGGAGGTTACACTGATCAAGGTGACACTGGGATCATGGCAGGAGGTACATATGGAGCTGAAATTGTTGCCCTACCTTTGGATCCCCCGCCATGCTCTGCTCCTCGTCATGTTGGTCGCCATCTTGGCACT